ATCTTCATAGATAAGGTCATAATGGACGTCCATGCAAACTTTTGGCAAAAAAGATGTAATAATTTTTTATCACTAAAAAATATAGTGGAATATAACACATGAATATCAACAAAATAAGGGGTTTACCTTTTGTGAGGCTCGTTTGACCTTGAAAATAGAACGTTTTAGCCATGGTGACCAACCGTCTCTATAGATAAGGTCTTAATGGACATCCATGTAAGTTTTCGATAAAACTAATCTTAGAATTCCGGATCACCAAAAAAGTTTGTGGACTATATATAGCATACGAAAATTGAAAAATATGGGTTTACCTACTCTGGGCTCGTTTGACCTAAAAAACTGATCGTTTTTACCATGGTTACCAACAAATTCCATAGATGAGGTCTTAACGACCCTTTGTATAAATTTTGGCAAATATTATTTTGGAATTCTTGATCAACAGAAATACCATGGACTATAGCATACAAAAGTCGGCATAATGTGGGGCTTGCATACTCTTGGCTCGTTTGACCTTGAAATTGGACCGTTTTGATCATGGTGACCAACCGACTCAATATGTAAGGTCTTAACGAACGTCCGCATAAATTTTTGGCAAAAATAATCTCATAATTTCAGATCACCAAAAAAGATGTGGACTATATAAGACACAAAAATTGGCAAAATGGGGGGTTTACCTTCTCTGGGCTTGTTTGACCTTGAAAATGGATCGTTTTGTCCATGATGACAACTGCCTACATAGATAAGGTATTAACGAATGTTCGTGTAATTTTTTGCAGAAATAATCTTGTAATTTCGGATCACCAAAAATCTCATGGACTATAGCACACAAAAAAATGACAAAAATTGGGATTTACCTTTTTGGGATCCTTTTACCTTAAAAATAGGACGTTTTGGTCGTGGTGACCAACCGAATTCATAGATAAGGTATTAACGGATATCTATATAAATTTTTGGCAAAAATGATATCAACAAATTTGGATAATCAAAAAAAGATGGTGGACTATATATCACACGAAAATTGATAAAATAAGGGGTTTACCTTTTGTTGGGCTCGGTTGACCTTGAAAATGGGCCGTTTTGGTCATGGTGATCAACCTCATTAGATAAGTTATTAATGAACGTCTGTGTAAAATTTTGCCAAAAAGGATCTCGAAACTCTAGATCACTAAACAATATGGTGGACTATATAGCACAAAAAATGGCAAAATGGGGGTTTACCTGCTCTAGGCTCGTTTGACCTTGTAAATGAGTCATTTTAGCCGTGCTGACAAAATGACACCATAGATAATGTTTTAACGGATGCCCGTGTAAATTTTTGGTAAAAGTTATATGGGAATATGAGATCACTAAAAAAGATGGTGGACTACACAAATTGGACAAAATGGAAGTTTTTGCGTGTTTTGGGCCCGTTTGACCTTGAAAATGAGCCGTTTTGATCGTGGTGACCAACGACTCCATTAATAAGATCGTAATGGGCATCTGTGTAATTTTTCTGCAAAAATTATATCGGGATTTTAGATAATATAAAAAGATGGTAGATTGTAGCATACAAAAATTGGTAAATTGGGGGGTTTAAATTTTTTGGGGCTCGTTTGTCCTTGAAATTGGACTATTTTGACCGTGGTGATCAACCGACTCCATAAATAAGGTCTTAACTGACGTCCATACAATTTTTGCAAAAAATGATTTTGGAATTCCAAATCACAAAAAAATCTCATGATTATAGCACACAAATTTTAGCAAAATATGTGTTTACCTTCTCTTGGGCTCGTTTGATCTTTAAAATGAGTCATTTTGGCCATGGTGACCAACCGAATCCATAGATAAGGTTTTAACAGACATATATGTATTTCAAGTTATTTATTTTAATGCATGTGTATTATTATGCATGTTACTTTTAATGCACCAAATCAAATAATTAATTAAAAATAATCAAAGCAAATGTAACAATCCATATTTTATTTTGCATATTGTGAAGTGGTTGTGTATTTGGGTTAAAGGAGAGCTTTTTAATTAATGACTTATATGACTCTTTTTTAATGAAAAGGTATGTTTGATCTTGAAAATACGCCCGCTTTCTCCGTAGGATAAACTAGATACATTGCCAATGTTTTAACAAATTTTCAAGGAAAGTTTTGGTTGTTTTCCTTCGAGAATTTCGGATCACAAAATTTCCATGGATTATAACACATGAAAGTAGGAAAAATCTGTGATTACCTGTTTTGGGGCTCGTTTAAACTTGAAAATCCGTTTTTTCCCTATAGGATGAATTAGATACATTGCCAACATCTTAATGGACGTCAATGAAAAATTTTTCCATTTCATTTCGGGAATTTCAAATCACAAAAATTCCATGGACTATAGTACATGAAAATCGTTAAAATATGAATCTACCTGCATTAGGCTCGTTTGAACTTGAAAATGCACTCATTTTCCCCGCGAGACAAACTATATATATTGTCAACGTCTTCACAAACATCTATTAAAAATTTCAGCCATTTCGTTTCAAGAATTCTAAATCACAAAAATTCCATGGACTATAGCACACAAAAATCAAAAAAATATGTGTTTACCTGCTTTGAGACTCGTTTGAACATGAAAATTCGCTCGTTTTCCTCGCGGGACGAATTGGATACATTGCCAATGTATTAACGGATGTTCACTAAAAATTTTGACCATTTTGTTTTTGGAATTGTGAATCACAAAATTTTCATTGACTATATCACACGAAATTGGAATGATCTACGTTATCTACTTTGGGGCTCATTTGAACTCTAAAATTCACTTGTTTAGGAGCTTGTTTGAACTTGAAAAATGAGTCTGTTTTCACCGTAGAATGAACTGGATACATTAACAATATCTTAACAGGCGTCTATGAAAATTTTTGGCCATTTTATTTCACGAATTTCGGACCATAAAAATTCTATTGACTATAACACATGAAAATTGGAAAAAATTGCGTTTACCTGCGTTGGCAAAAATGATCTCAAAATTCCAAATCACCAAAAAAGATGGTGGACATAGCACACGAAAATTGAATAATCACTTCTATAGAGAAGCTAGCTTTGTTTTTGGTAAACTAGCTAGCATTAGAGAGGAACCTTCTTGGAGGCTAAGGTCTATATAATATTTTGTGTTATGATATAGCATTGATTTGGTTCTTGAAGTTTTAAAAGTGGTTACCAAATGAATTATAACTACGTGCACATTGATTTGGTTTTTGAAGTTGGAACTTAATGCTTGTGGACTTTATTGAGATATATGTATCTTAAGATAAAATTTTTTATTTATTATTGAACACGACTATATATATAGCCATGGTACTAATCAAACTACAATCATATTATTATATTTTCATTTTATCGTTGATCCTTGCATTGTGCGAGAATACAACAAAACATATAATGAAGTTATTACATAGAATTAGCTGCCAAAAGACCTTTGGTTGCCGCAATCAAGATTGTCACCAGTACTAACTCCAAGAATTCCGCAATACCTTCTGTAAAACCCAATTCGATCTTGTACCCTGTTTTCATTACCATAACCACATTCTAGGCCACCATTGATGATGTTTGTGATGACACCAAATCCAGGAAGACGATTGGCTGATAGGTCACCGGCAGATGGGTTCCATCTTCCAATGATGACATCGTGGCAAGAAGACTTTGGTGAATGAGGGGTCATCCAGAACCAGATAGCTGTCTTGAATGAGATGACTGGGTCTGTGGCTACTAAATCAGGATTGTTTAAAAGGTCCACTCCGATGGCTCTTCCACATGGCCCATATTTGTAGTTGTTGTTTTGAAATGTCAAAATAAACGTAATTAGACACTACAAGTTCATCAAATTTTACCATATATAGGAAAAATAGATTTATGTAGCTTACTGTGAAATTTGGATAGGGCCTCGTTCGAAATATTTCCTTCCAGGTGCACAAGGCCATTGATCACTTGATATGCCTTTTCAGCTGTGATTACAGGGACATATGGTACCACGTTTTCCGTAATGTCTACATTGATGGCTCCACTAAACCACAAGGAAGTGGTCAACGATGATATGATTTGCAACTTTTTTCTTTTTATACAAATGTTTTGAAAGAATTTACTTGAATTTTATTTTTGCAAAATAGAAGGATTGACAATAATCTCAATTAAATTTTACTTAGCATTATTTTTGCACATATTGTAAAAATATTATACGAATGTTGTACACACAATTCTTAATAATTTATTTATTTCAATGACACGTTAGGCCCGTGCATCCTTCTAGTATTAGTATAAACAAGAGTTTTGTATTGTGTTATTGGTACACCCCTGTTCCATCTTTCTCTAATATTTTCTAGATAATTTGGTTTGATAAAATTTTTTGGATCTCAAGAAGTCAACACATGGATTCATACTTAAAAGTAAGTTATTTTTTTTCTTGGTGTTTTGAAGTTATTTACACTTTGTTTGGATCATTGTTACCCATTGTTTCATAATCTATTGTATTATATTGTACTGTATTGTATGGTATACACACAATGTTTGGCTAGACTGTATTATTTGTTGTTGTTTAATAACATTTTAATTATTTGGTTTGATCATATCGTATTGTATTGTAATTTATAAATTTACTAAAATATCCTAATTATTCTATTGTCTGAGGTTTGACTAGATTCAAATAATTAAGATAAAGGGTAAAATAGTATTTTGAAATATTATGTAAATATATAATTGAAAAAAGAAATTAAGTAACAATAGGAACACACCAAATTGGTTGTTCTATAAATTATGGGTTTTCATTGTTACGTAACTAGGGGTGTGCAAAAACCGAACCGATAAAATGTTATTGGGTTTTTAATGGGTTTAGAAAAAATAATTATTGGGTTATTGGGTCGGTTTCGGTTTTTCCTATTGGGTTATTGGGTAAACCGATGACCCAATAAGACGATAGTTATTTACTACTTTACCCTTCCTCAATATTAAATATACATAATTTAATAAATAAATAGATTCAATATTAGCTTTTCAGGCTATGTGATTTTTTGATTAGGAAATTGGTGAGAACTTTGTTGATTATGTGGTGGATCAAGCAACTGTTCAAGATTGTCTCATTGAAATATTTTATTTTAGTTTTAATTCTTGTTCGTATTGTAGGCAAGAGCTTTTGCAAGTTTGTGAATGTTAGTAATTTGATCAACATTCAAAGTTTTCTATTATGTTTTGGCGGTAAGTTAGTAACATGTAATTATAACATACGTACTATTATATATTATTTGATCGATATTTTTTTATTAGGTTAACCGTAACCGAACCGATAACATCAAAAACCGATAAATCGATAAAAAATTTCTTATTGGTTTGTTATTGGGTTAGCATATTTTAAAACCAAAAATCGATAAACCGAACCGATTATATGTAAAATTTAACCGAACCGACAGATGCACATCCCTATACGTAACAACGAAATTTAACAATACAATACAATACATTTTAAGTAACAATCGAAACAAACATTGTAGGTATAGTAACAATACAATACAATACAATGGATAACAATGATCCAAACATAGTGTTAGTTTTATTTCTAACAATACAATACAATACAATGGATAACAATGATCCAAACATAGTGTTAGTTTTATTTCTCTCATGTTTCTTAATGTTAATCCTTTGGTTTTCCTAACTTTGTTTCATATGCTTAGATTAATTTTTTTAGACCCTTCTCAAGTTAAGCAAAACACAAAGTCATGAATTTTTATTTTATAAACATTAATTAAAAATTCTTTTTTTTGCCTTCTAAATTAAATAATTTTACATACATACTAGTTTAAAAATAAAAATGACGCCTTAAGCTTTTTCGTCAATATGTAACTATAGTGGATTTCCCTTAGTAAGACCTTTGAGAAACACTTATGAGAAATGCTGAGAAATAATGAAATTTTGAAGATTTATTTTAAATTACTCAAACCACATCTACCCATTTTCTTCTTTCATTAGAGAAAATTGTTCCTGTCTTAAAAGACTATTTTGCGACAAAAGTTTAATTATAAGGATCATAAGTTTAATGTAGAGTGTTAAATTTTTCTATTTCGACTCTTTATATGACACTAATCCCCCCCCACCCCAACCCCCAATTCAAATTATTTCAAAATTTTGCTCTCCTTTAACCCTAATATGAGTTTCACTATTCTTCTTCTTTGCTTGTTAGGTCGTATTTCTTTTTGTTTCATGATGTGTTTTTTCCTGCTTTGATATAACATTTTTTTCCAGTTTGATTCAATCATTCATAATGCCTTGTCGTGTCAGTGTTAATAATCATGGAATGTTTATGATTGATAATCAGTTGTTCCGGTAGAAACAAGTTTCTCAAAGAAGTTACTGAAGAAGAAACTTCATCACATGATTGATAATATATCTCTATCAGTATGTTAGAGCATAAGAGTTGATATTACCAATAATTTTCCTAACAACTCTCGTCCATCCGTACTTCAAAACAATGGAAACAATGTTAAATGACATTATGTCTTGATTAATCATAAATTTAATATTTCCAAAATTTCATCAATTTATTCAAGACGTGAATGGTTTTCAAACAGTGGACGTATTATAAATGAAGCTAAATTTCCCTATATTTTAAAATATGAACATATTAAGAAATGAAAATAAGTTAGAGAGACTCTTAAGATTTTTGGTGATGAATATACTAAGCTTTTGTGAGAAAAGAAAGAAAAAAAAACAAGGTAGACACATCAAAATAGAGGTTGCAATGATTTTGAGAAAAGAAGGAAACTAGTTAAATTCTCAGCGGTCCTTTGTCCATGTTCCTTGAGTTGAAATTGGTGATCAGTTTTGGTTCAAGGTACAACTTGCTATAGTCGGACTACATCACAAAATTTTTAGGGGCATTGAATATGCGCATATTAATAGAAAAGATGTTTCAACTTAAATTGTTGATTTTGGTGTATACGAGAATAAGACTATATCTTCTCAAAAGTTCATTTATGAAGATAAAGGAGTGAATTCTAGAGTATCTGTTAATGCGAGAGTGGTAATCAGAAGTTTAAAAGGGATACTCTTTCCTTGATGAACTCAATGGATTTGGGATATTTAGTAATGATCATTTCTGGCCGTCAAAGAATTAATGGTGAAAAGACCGATTACATTTACTTTAGGTTGGACGTTGTAACTAAGTGTTGGCGACAAAGAGGTCTAATTGTAAAATATATGTTCATGTTCAAACATTAGAGGTATCTTTGCCAACCAGAACTAACTCAGTTATTTAATGGCAATCATATTTGTGAAAATGATTTCAAGGCACCAAAATCTACTATGCACACAAAGTTTGTTATGGAGTATGATGTCTCGAAAGGGAAGGAAAATATATCAATCATCTCTATCGATGCAATGTATTATGGAGACCCCCCACCTTTCAGATACATTACTAACATGAAGTATCCTGATTTGTATTATATCATTAGGCCTCAAGGTTGTTGTTGCACAAGAATATGCTCGAATATTGAACAGTGCTCTTGTGATTCTAAGAACGGAGGCGATTTTCCATTCAACCCTAGAAGCTCTATTTTTAAAGCAAAACTTTTTGTTCACGAGTGTGGTCCATATTACAAATGTCCTCCATCTTGCTAAAATAGGGTTAGTCAACATGGTCTTATGTACCACTTCGAGGTTTTCAAAACCAAATAGAAAGGATGGGGTTATAGGTCATCATATTATATTGCACCCAGAAGTTTTATTCGTGAATATATCAGAGAATTTCTTGATCATAAAAGAAGCCAAAATTAGATTTGATTATGACAAGTACTTCTTTGATGTTGGCAACTATAGAGAATATATCCGCAATGGAAGGTTGTAAGTAGTAAAGTTGACTCAAATTCTTTTAAAAGGGAGGATGGAGGTGGATTTACTATTGATGCGGCAATATATGAGATGTTGGTAGATTTATCAATCATAATTGCTCACCAAACCATTGTTCTGAAAACTTCATGTATGACCATGGTGATAAAAGAGTACCTCACATAATGTTTTTCGCTTCCAAAAGTATTTATGCATTAGAGAATCTTACTTATCACTACAACCACAAGATTGTACGTATTCATGGTACAAATGACAATTTGATGAGAGAGAAGGGTGGTATTTATCTCATAAGTGCAGTGGGAGAATGTAGTAAATTACTACTTGATGTATTATACATAGAAATTTACTACATTCTAGCACTGCACTAATAAGAGACACATCTACCCTTCTCTCTCTTCAAATTTCTGTTTGTATCATGAACACGGACAATTCAGATGTAATAATAAGTAAGCTCTTCTAATGGATAAATATTTTGGAAGCAACAAAAAATTATATGAGGTAATCTTTTGTTTCCATGGTCATACATGCCATTTTGAGCACAAAGGATTGGTGAGAAACTATAATTGATAAATCTACCAACATTCCCATATATTGTTGCATCAATAGTAAATCCATCTCAATCCTTCCTTTTAAACTATTTTGACTCGACTTTGCTACTTAAAAACCTTGTTTTTGGGGATATATTCATTGTTGTTTCCAACATAAAGAATTACTTTTAATAATCCATCCTAATTTTAACTTCCTTATCATTAAGAAATTCACTGATGTATTCACAAATAAAACTTCTGGGTGCAGTATAATTTGATGACCTCAAACCCCATCTTATCAATTGGGTTTCAAATCCTTGAAATGGTACCAAGACCATGTTGTCTAACCCTGTTTTTATTGCTTACGAAATATTTCTATGAAAATCCACAAGAAATTTTATTTTTATAAGAAATTTTGGTAAAATTCGCAAGAATTTTCGATAATTAT